TTTTTTTTTTTTTTTTTTGATTAGGTTCAGGTGCATCTCCGTAATTCCAAAATCTATAGATCGCTGCAAAATCGAAAAACGTTGGTTTTTTTCCCTTTTGAAATGACATGACAAATATTTCAAAATAGGAGAACGTCACTGGGTCACCACACAAAAAATAGCGTTCGTTAGAGAAGCAGACAAAGGACAAAAGAGTGCAAAGAGTGGAGAGATCGGAGGAAAAGAACTTGCTAGAACCTTCGCAAACATTCCCGCATTTTCTAGCTCCTTATCTAGCAGCGTATAAAAACGGTCCACGAATGACGCTACTAACTCAGTTGTCGGATTAGCTTATTCTTGTTATCTGCTGGTCGTGTTATACGGCGATTTATATGATGGCTCTTTTTCCAAATGATTGTCACCGGATGTTCTCATCTCCCTTGGAAAGAATGATGTGCCACCTCTTTGAAGACAGTTTTCGGAACTGCGAACGTTCTTTGGATTTTGTGGCCCCCTACTGGCTCGGTCAGCCTCTGATCCAGGAGTGCAATATAGGCAACAGTGTTGGAAAGGTAGGCTAATCTTTTTTTCTAGCACTTTCTCCACCTCTTCTGCATGTTTTCAACAAGATTTCAAGATACTAGGGATTTTTTTGAGTCCTAAAGTTTCAAATGCTGGGCGTTTGCGAAGCAGTTTGATTTACTTTTACTTTTATCCAGGTGATTAACAACAGTGAGAAGTTTGCGGTTGAAGTAAACGTTGCGCAGTTTCGACCTGAAGAACTTTCAGTTAACGTTCGAGACAAGGATCTAGTGGTTGAAGGACATCACGAAGAGCGCAGCGACAGACATGGCAGAATTGAACGCCATTTCATTCGCAAATACTCCATCCCAGATGATGTGAATCCAGAATCAATCGAATCACATTTGTCCGACGGTGGTGTACTCTCGGTCTGCGCTAGCAAAGTGGCGATTGAAGGGGTCAAAGGCCGGACAATTCCAATTCAAGCTGCCCCACGGCAGAAACATGAGGATTTGGAGGAGAAATAAACTGATATCAGCAAGGAGTGAAGTAGTTGGAAAATTTGTTTATCATGTACTTATATTCCGAGCGTCCATTTTACACCTTTTTCTTACTGATGCCGTTTTTTGTACAGTTGTAAATTTTTATTGCATATTTGTTTAGTGTACTTATGGTATTATTCAATTTGCTTTCATCTGAAAAAGTACTATTAAATAAATGATCAATTTTTGAATTCCCGCTGCAATTTACTTTCGTTTATCGGGATGGAGTACTGCAAAACTTCATTCTTGTTCCACTTCTGCGAAAAAAGCCTTTAAAAAGCCAGGGTAAACCCTCCCAACTTGAAGCTAAACCTGCGAAAATGCGCCCCACAATAAGGCATTTCCAAAATTACAATCGGAGGCCCCTTGTGAAAAGACGCTGCACGTATAGGCGCCGTCATTTCTAATTTCCATTTCGTGG